TAGATTTGAGATATAATTTTGTATACACTGGAGCCCAAAAGTCTCATAATCTTGATTTAAAAATCTAATTTAACCCTGTAAATAAATGTTTAAGAATTTTAGAAAGTAAATAAACACACACACACACACACACACACACATAATGGTAGCTTTCCAAACTTTTCAGGATTTATTTAGCAGCTGACTCATAAAAACTTACATCACAGCAAAGATTCAGTGACAAGCTTTTGGAATAAAGTCATTAATGACTCTCTCACATTCAAACAATTAAGACTAACATTCCAATAATGTACCTTGTACAGGCAGAACAGTAAATATTATGGCAATTAGTAATAAGGATTTACTTCAGTATATTGTTCAGTTAGTTTTGTTTTACTATCTAATGTTTTATGTTAGCTTAAACATAGCAGCAGAAGTTATTGAAGAGGCTTCACAATTGTAAATAAGCAATTATGAAGAAATTTTAATCAATTTGAACTTTCCAGTATATCACGGTATTTTAATACAACCTGCAAATAAAACGTTTTCTTATTACATCACATGGTTTTTATAATCATTAAAATTAATATACGTATATTTTTTCATACATTTTGTACAGAACACAGTTGTGAAACAGACTCACTTTTAGGAGCGTCCACCTTCTGAATCACCTATTCAGGGGTTTGAAACCAACTCAATGTTACATTTGTGAATCCTCTGTCAGCCAAAGCAGATCTCAACTGAAAATAACATATTAATACTAAACCAGTTAGATCAAAATATGACATCAGTGTGTCTACAAGAAGTTAAATGTAAGACTTTTTAAGAGATTTTTAATACCACCTTATGTTAAATTTAAGACCAAACCTGTGATGGAAATACACATTATATTACATATATAATATTTAATGTGTTTAATGTAAAAAGAAAACAAAATATCATCGCTGTCAAAAAATTATATTTATTATTACAATATGCAGTGAACTTTTCATATCAGCAGACAATATCCCATTCAGAATATCCCCACAAAAGTACAGCATCACTGAGATTTTTGGTAGTGTAAACAATTTATTCAGAAGCAATATTTTCATCAGTGTTCTATCAGCTTTTACATACTTAAATCTGCATGTTTTTAACATTTACCCCAGGATGTTATTTAACTTTATAAAGGGCAATATTTTTATCAAATCAATGTAACATTTGCAATCGGGAAATTATTCAGCAAAAGAGCTCCCTTGACATGGTGTGTAACTTGACTACATCATGTTATAAATAAACTAAACATTTAACATTTTTACCTCAGTATGTTTGTTCTGTGAGTTTCTTTATGTGTGCCGTTATGCTCATTTGATTTGATTTCTCCATCAAAGTCTCTCTCAGACACAGGCAGCGCGAGCCTCAGCAGCGCCACATTGATACCAGAAATACACTTTTCATTTTCAATCGCTGTTTAAACTGAATGTAATAAAATCAGAAGGATCATGCTTGTGTTTTGATGCCTCACTAGTTATTTTTTGTCACTTACACTGCAAAAAAGGCTTATCTTACTTAGTATTTTTGTCTTGTTTCTAGTCAAAATATCTAAAAAATTCTTAAATCAAGTTGCAGGAGATAAGCAAAATGTCATAAGATATTTAATCTTGTTTCCTGGGGGAAAAATTAAATGAAGTGCATTTTGCTTAAAACAAGTAAAATGATCTTCCAGTGGGGTAAGGAAATTACTCTTAAAACAAGATTATATTTTTTATCCCAATGGCAGATATTTTTACTTGTTTTAAGCAAAATGCACCTCATTTAGTCCCCCCCCCCCCGGAAACAAGACTAAATATTTTACATCATTTGGCTATTTGTCTTGTCGGGCAAGTAAAATTCTCGAGCCATTTTTCAGTAAACTTGCCCAATTAACCCATTTAAAGTTGCTAGGAGGCTGGGGGAAAAAAAAATCTTCAGTCTGTCCAATGATTGTAAACAGTCACTGCATGGATCCGTCAGAATGGAGAATTGTTTTGCGGTAATGTGACCAAAAATATTTAAGACCCATTGAATCTGAATTTAAGACATTTTAAGACTTTTTAAGGACCTGCGGCCACCCTGGACAATATACTAAAATCTCTCTTTCTGTCTCTTGTGTTTCAAAGGAATTATTTTAGGTATGATAAATGACTTAATCACACCCAAACATTTGTTTATTTTATTTTTTTCAATGAAAGTCAGTGGGGTCCAGTGTTGTTCAAAATATGTTTAAAGAATAGAGTATCTTGAGACCCCCTGCATGCAATTTATTGGAAGTATTTCTTTAGTTGTGGTAATGTAAATGAGGAAATACACGTTCATGGAGACCTTTACTGCAGTTCTCACCCAGCCATAAGGAGGTGCTGTAGACCCTACATCAAATTAGCATGTTCCTGTTGTCATGCGTGAGCATTCTGTCCATTTACTGGTTATGCAGGGTACATATTCTGTCTTTCTCTCACCTGTATAAGAATGTTTTCTCTCATCGTCAGGTCTATCAAATCAGTTCTGGAGTTAAACAGCATCTTTACAATTGATCTTTTTAAAACAGGACCTACAGATCAAGCATTAATCATTATTATTTGTGTTTGCATTCATTAAAAGTATTAGTGCTCCTTACCTTGACTAGCAATATGATATTATTGTTAGTTGTTTTTATGAACCAAGTAGTACAGATACAGCATACCTTCTCCAGAAACCTCCACCTCACACAGAGTGAGTGTCTTCATGTTTCCAGGAATGATCAGATTCACATAAAGTCCCACCATCCCATTACATGAGTAGCTGTAGGACTCACCTGCTGGAATAGCAGGAATAACAGCACATCTACAGACAGCGAGAGAAACACATGGAGATAAAGATAGTGTTGTATCTTCACGTACACATTTGCGTTTGATGTCTCATGTTCCTTCATCCTCAAGTTTCTCACATGGGATTGTCGTTGCCGTTGTTCTCCAAAGAGTTTCCGATGCGAATTGCCACTCCTTTCATTTGTTCGGTACAGCAGTCGTTTCTGTTAGTGACCACCACTCTGCTAACTCGGTACACGGAACTCAGATCCAGCCTCCACCATGGGTTAGTCTGATTAAGGGTTGAGGATCATCCTGTACGCAACCTCTGGAGACCTCGTTTACCATCAATAGCCTTTTCTGCAAACCAGTCCGCAGATGTTGATGACTGTGTAGCAGCTCCTCTCGATGCCCAGTTTCCTTGAAAATAGGTGAATAATATGTAATATGACTAAGGATGCTCCTACTCAGAAGTACATCATGTGAAGTGTGAAAAAATGTAGTGTTGAGCCTATTAGGTCATTTCTGGGGTTATTTTTTCAGTGTTGGGTAGTTTTTGTGTTAAACAACTACCATTTCGCTATGTACCTTTATATGCAAATAAAGGTTTATATACCTTATCTATAGAGTCTTCACTGCAACGCAGCATACAGGGATGACATATCAGGCAGCTAAATGCATGTCACATCAGTTGTTACCATTCAGTTCTGTCCAAAACAGAACCATTTTGTTTGTTTTTTTCATGAGACCCAGCACGTTTTGCTAAAGCGAGATAACTGAGAGTTGATTACACTTTAATTACTGTTAAATGTGTAAGACTTGAAGAACCTCATAATAAAATGGAGTCAGATTAGAATTTATTTGAGCCCGAACACGCAGGAAAACCTTCAGCCGCCATTGGATACCTTCATTAGGCCAATTGGGTGGACCTTACAAATGTTTAATTTTTTAATTCTAAACTTTTGTTCAAATGTAGGTAATTGTAATGTAGGGAGTCGTGACAACGGAGTTGAGGATCCAAATGCAGCTTTATTTTAATAGAGTGGTCAGAACAGGCAGGGTCAAACAACAGCAGACAGGTATAATCCAGGGCAGACAAAAGAGTAATACAATAAACAGGTAAAGGTCAGAAAACAAGGAAACAGTCCAAGGTCAAAAACAAGCAAAGCAAGGCAAGGCAAGAAACACAGAGAACACAGACGATACAGGCTATACAATAATCAACAATTTGGAAGTAACAAACCAGGCTTTAAATAGGGTGAGACAGAAGAGATAACAAGACACATTTGAATGCAAACAGAGATAATGAGTCCAGGCAAAGGATTATGGGGAATGTAGTAGTGAGGGAGTGACAACTGTCTGGGGTGAATGGCAAAGGTACAGGATGGAGTGCCCTATAGTGGAGCTTATGGGCACTCCAGCTAGAGATCGTGACAGAGCCCCCCCCCCCAAGGGGGTGACACTGGAAGTATCAGGGGTCCGACTGATGGAGACGTTGGAAGGAGAGCCCAAGGCAGAGACGGAGAGCTGAAGAGCCGGGGTGACACTGAGGGATCGGAGGGCCATGGTGGAGCTGACAGCTCTGGTGACCGAGGCGCAGGTGGGGATCCAGAAGGCCGCGGTGGAGCCGGAGCGACCAATGCAGAACCGGAGGGAGAGAGGAGCCCAACGGAGCTGGAGGGACGGAGGGACGAGGCAAAGAAAGAAGAGTGTAGTCCTGAGGCGAAGGCAGGTCGACGAATGACCAAGGTGGAGCCGGAGGAACGAGGAAGCCCGGCGGAGCCAGTGGACTGACGGACCACAGTGGAGACGAGGGAGCTTTGAGCCAAGGTGACACCAACGGGTCGACGGACCAAAGTGGAGTCCAGGTCTCGAAGGCCAGATATGGAGATCTGGAATCCTCCAACTCTGGTGCAGCTGGAGGCTGACTGTCCCGAAGCGAATCCTGACCACTAACCACCCTCAAAGGATGACCGGAGGGACAGACAGAAAACAGCGGAGACAGAACAAAGAACATGACAGGCAGAGGAGGAGGGAGGTTGGGACAACAGGTTCATAACCGGGCTTCTTAACCAAAGCAGAGCAGGCAGAGAGTTCGGAGACGGTCTCCCTGACCGTGACAGGACAGTCAGAGAGTTCACAAACGGCCTCCTTGGCCGTGGCTGGACAGACAGAGAGTTCAGAGACGGCCTCCTTGGCCGTGACAGGACAGGCTAAGAGTTATGAGACGGCCTCCTTGGCCGTGTCAGGACAGGCTGAGAGTTCAAAGGCAGACGCCACTGCCTCTGGAGGTTCTGCAGCACAAGCCGCCACCTCGAGAAGAGCTGAAGCGGGCGCCGCCGCTTCGGGAGGTTCTGCAGCACAAGCCACCATCTCGGGAAGAGCTGGAGCAGGCGCTGCCGCTTCGGGAGGTTCTGCAGCGCAAGCCGCCACATTGGGAGGAGCTGGACTCACTAGAGTCATTGGAACAGGAAATGGCACTCCTGGCCATGACGAGGGAACTGGAGTCATAGAAACAGGGAACGGCAATCCTGGCCGTGACAAGGGAACTGGAGCGGACTCAGAGACTGGAGTGGGCTCAGGAGGAGTAATTGAGCAGTGAGTAGCCCAAACGCACAGGATAGCGACCCCCATTACAGGGAGCACTGAGTCTAGGGGAATCGTTTCTGGAATTACCTGTGTTGAGGCCCTTGGAATGCCCGCTATTCTGGCCGAAACCAATGGTGGGTCTGCCACACTGGATGCCAGACTCAGAAGCCTTGGAACTGACTTTAAAGCTCTGGACATGACCGACATGACGTGAGCAGACACTGGCTTGGCAGTTTGAGGTGAGCAGGCACTGGCTTGGCAGGTTTGACGTGAGCAGACTCTCGAAGATAAGCTGAGACGTGATGAGGCCCTGCAAGTTCAGCTGAGACGTGACGTGACCCTAGAAGATCAGCTGTGACGTGATGAGACTCAGGAAGATCAGCTGTGAGATGACTTGACTCTGAGATGACAGCTGTGACGTGACGAGACTCTGGAATGGTGGCCATGACGGGACGAGACTATGGAACGGCAGCCATTTTGTGGACAAGTTCCGGATTGGCAGCCATTTTGTGATAAGTCCTTGTGTTGGCAGCCATTTTATGACAAGTCTCTGGAACAGTGCCACGTTCCTCCTCAACAGCCCCGACAGTGAAATATGAACCACTCATTTGCAGTGCAATGTCAATGTAATGTTCCAAAGTCCAGTTAGGTTCATGAAGCGACATGAGGGAGCGGAGCGGTTCAGAAAGCCCTCCCCAGAAAAATATAATTAAACATAAATTGTCCATTGAAGACAAGTTTGTCAATTCAATAAAGTCAGTAACATAGTCCTCAACTGACCAATCACCTAGACGAAGTCGCATGATCTCCACTGCTGCTGATTCCATGTTGGTTGGACTGAAAACACTCAATAAAGCCGCTGGATCCGGGTATGGCTGATTATTCTGTAACGTAGGGAGTTGTGACAACGGAGTTGAGGATCCAAATGCAGCTTTATTTTAAAAGAGTGGTCAGAACAGGCAGGGTCAAACAACAGCAGACAGGTATAATCCAGGGCAGACAAAAGAGTAATCCAATAAACAGGCAAAGGTCAGGGCAGGCGGCAAATTATCAAAAAATAAGGAAACAGTCCAAGGTCAAAAACAAGCAAGGCAAGGCAAGAAACAGAGAATAGACGAAACAGGTTATACAATAATCAGTAGTGATGTTACGTTCTGTGCCGAGGCTTCGGAGCGTGTGTCGAGAAATCCCGGCAGCTTTCAGTGAAGCGCGTATCGAGGCTTGTATCGCTTTCGAGCAATGATGTCACTGATGACGTCCGAAGCCTCGCTTGGCCTGACTGGTTCAGGAAGCGGTTCAAATCTTGTAAATTCACAGTCCTCTGCCCTGTTAAACTCAGCCACCTTCCAGTTTTAGACTAATAATATTCCCCCTCCTGCCTATTATGAGCAAAGACTTGATTTACACACATTTGATAGCCCCTTTCATTTCAAGCCAATACGTTTACTACACAGTTATGTTATATTATGTTATACAATCATTATATACCACTAGAAAATACACATTATATTCATATAAATAGATTAGTCTATGTGGAAATTTTTTTTTTTTTTCTTTCCAGGTGGTATTGTGACCAAATGAAGCCTCGAGAAATGAACCCTTTTGTGAACCACTTGGCTGAAAAGCTTCAATGCTTAATGAGGCTTCATCTCGCCATCACTAATAATCAGCAATGTGGAAGTAACAAACCAGGCTTTAAATAGGGTGAGACAGATGAGATAACAAGACACATGTGAATGCAATCAGAGATAATGAGTCCAGGCAAAGGATTATGGGGAATGTAGTAGTGATGGAGTGACAACAGTCTGGGGTGAATGGCAAAGGTACAGGATGGAGTGCCCTCTAGTGGAGCTTATGGACACTCCAGCTAGAGATCATTACAGTAATACTGTATTCATGTAGTATAAAACTGTATAAAATGTGCTAGCCTATATTAATAACTGTAAATACATAAAGGATGTATCGTGGACACAGTGCCAATGTAGTGTATTTTAATGCCATATATACAAGCTATATATTCCAAGTGTTCTAGGACTATAAGATAGGGTTTGGTGGGAAGAGAAAAAAAAAGCTAATATATTATTATATGAAAATCCTGACCTTGACTGTGCGTTCATGAGACTCTACTAGCACCACAGTTTATTCCGATCAACCCAGGAAATGCACAAGTTGTGCAATGGTTCACACATTCACACTTCACCTTTAATGTATGTTGTTTTTAATTATGGCATGATATTACATATTGAAAAGTAACTTACCCATCAACTGCCCGTAAACTTCAACCTCGCAAAGAGTAAGCGTCTTCAGATCTCCTTATGAACAATCACGTAACGTCCCTCGAATCCCACCACATGAGAAGTTGGCCGTGGCTCCAGAAGGAATAGTAGAAACTACAGCACATCTACAGACAGAAAGATAATCCGTTATCTGTTTCTGTTCATTCTCAGCTGGAGACAAAGATAAACGTTGAAAAAATCCTCACATGGTTTTGCTGTAAATGTCGTCAGGGGAGTCCCCGACACGAATCACCGTCCCGTTAATCCTCAAAGCATTGCTGTCTCTGTTAGTGATGGCCACTCTGTTCACTTTGTATTCATTCAGCAGATCCACTCTCCACCATGGGTTGGTCTGTGTAATGGTGTGTGAACAGCTGTCGCGTAAACCATCAACAGCGTATCTGGAAATCCAGCTGGAATCCCAATCGGACGATTGGCTTGTGATGCGCCATAGTGCTGCGTTCTCTGGAAAATTTTTCAAGAATCGAGGTCAGTAAACCATCATCTTCATTCAGTTCTTTTTGGAATTCTTTATCAAACTTGATGGCTGGCAGAGTTCTTCAAAAGTGTTTTATTGAAATAATCTCATTTATTCATTATCTTCAACGTCAGGAGCATCTTGACGTTTGCCCTATCAGATTTTAAAGTGGAAGGGGATTTTTAAACTCTGCAAATCACTTTCCTTCTAGTCCTATATAGTGATTGGTTTAGTAATATTATATTATTAGGGGTGTATAATCTAACACAGGGACTAGACAATTGTTTGAAATGCATTCTTGAAGATTATTTGTTGTCTGGATTGACAGTGTATTCCAATGTGAAGTATTTGGCAAAAGCTGTTCTAAAAATCAATTACGGTGGACCAGATGAAGTTAATGTAATTAATCTTAACAGATTCTTACCATCTGCTCCATTTGCCGTTTCTTGAATTGATAAAAACCCTGTGTGAGCAACAAGATTCAAATGAATTTCAGAGGCTATGTAAATGCAATGTTCATTTGAATTACACTGTGTTGTGTATCAGAACATCACTTGGTCTTCTGAAGGAAAAAAATAATTACTTTTTTAAGTCATTATTCACTTATAATTTTCCCTTGTGCAGGCTGTTAACAGCTGTGACCTTGAGAACAAATTAATCAGACTGGATCAAATGATTCAATGATTAGAACTGACTCAAAAGAGTGATTTGTTCAAGCTACTTTTCTCAATAACTCTCATGAGCATGCGGTGTGGAAAGATTTTTGTCTATTCCTCGCCCAAAATATTGTATGACTTCAGCACACAAGTCTTACAGACAAATGTTATGGTTCTTTTAATGTAATTTTGGAGCTTGGAAGCCCCAGATTAATTGTCAAGGATTCTTCGTTTACAAAGTTACAATGTTTTGTGGTGTACTATCTCTAATAATTGGTTCAGTCAATATGTCCAGCCTTGAAACAAGTAGATTATGTAAATCTAACATGAATCTCCTGTAGAATCGCTACCTGGCTTTCTTGATTTTCATACACAGATGCACGCAAAGATCATCAAATCATTTACATACACAAACGAGCAATGACTCAACACTAGATTTATTTTATAGAGCAAATGAAAGAAACTAAGAGAAAGAAATCCAGTGACAAATGATGCAAAATCTGTATGATGAGAAAAATGAAGTACATGATAATGCAGGAAAACAACTGAAAAAAACCAAAGGAACAATATTCCTGACTTCATTATACATGAGCAACATTAAATGAAAACTGATCTAAAATATTTTGGTTTGTCTGGCAGGAAAACTTGCTGTAAATGCACATTAGAGGAGGACATGTATTTAAACTCAAAATGGCGACATATCTGAACAAAGTGGAATATATATATACATAACTATAGTAAAATAGCAGATACATGAATGTTGTACGTTACCCAGTAAGATCAACAGGCACTTGTACAGCTTCTTCATGGTTGATTAAAGTCATCTGTCTTTCTCTTAGGATGGAGAGTGTGAGTGATATCAGTTTTAAGGAGGATGATCTGTGTAAATGTACATCACATGACCAACCTCATCTCTCCTCACCTCCGTCTCTATCACTCACTTCTCTCTCTCTGTCTTCTTTAAAACTTTAAGATAAATTAACATAATTAAGTACTTTATTTTATAAAATGGCATAAAATGTTTGTTGCCGCAAAAGTAAATCTTCTCCATAATGGTAAAATGCAGCTTAATTGACATTTTTACACACACACACACACACACACACACACAATAAATATATGTTAAAAATCAGTCTACAAGCACATACACGTTCTGGCTGACTACTCACTTTCCACTCGATTTCCTACCAGCTCCAGTGGTTTTGTCAGTGGAAGATCATTAAATGTTTTTATGTTCATTTATACCTGTTTTTGGCACTGAACACTTGGGATCACCTTAAATGGATGTTAAAGAGTCTTTTGCATTTCACCACAAGTTCCAGTGTCGTGGCACATCGCAGTATGTTCCCTTTGGCGATGCAACTGGAGAAGAATCTCTTTGCCATCAATTTTTACATAATTTACATACTGAACAAAGATGGTTTCTTCTGCACACATGATGACATTTGTCAATGCAGAATTAGTGTACAGAAAAAGGAGTTTTGCTAGGGGTTACATTTAATCTAATATCTCACGAATGTGTTTATTCAGAATAACTTAATTTAGAAAACGTTGTAATATTACGAATATAGATAAATCTACTAGGGCAACATAATTTGTTTTGCAAACTGCCTTAACAGTGACTGCAAGGGAAAAGCAAATAACACCATAATGCAAATTATCCAAATAAATACAACATAAGATCCTCCGAAAACCACACAAGATCTAAATCTTCAGAAACCCACAACAGATCAGATTGTTTTAAAGGGTCATGAAACCCTAAAACACATTTATTGAGATGTTAACATATACAGTATGTTAAAACAGTACATATACAGACACGTCGCCGACGCCCGTAAAATATTAGGCATGCTAAATATCTGGAGCTGTCGGCGATTCACAATCACGCAGTGTGCAATGATTTCTGACTGAAAACTACATCAGCGATGACCTACAGCCAATGAGAGACCAAGATACATGGCAGAGGGAAGTTCGGGGAGGAGTTATAGACCAGAATATCAGTATCTTAATAGATATATGATGCAGTGTGAAACCCCCTGTCGCCGATCCAGCGTGCAATGTGAACACAGCAGCAACTGAATGCTACCCCAGATAGTCACGCAGTGTGAAAACAACGGCGATCCGACGAGTTTGAAAATCGTGCAGTGTGAACTCGGCATTAGAAGAGCCGGCTCTTACGGCTCCCAAATGGCACTTTATTTAGTATCACTCTGAGCCTTCTATTTTAGCCCAATTTAGCAATTGTGAATGGTTTGTGTGTTGGTAAGCAATTTTTTATTCAGTGTTTTCATAAAAGCCTTATTTTTATGCATTTAATTTCATTACAAAAAAAATCAAATACACAGATACTATTATTTAACATTTTAATAAAACTTTAATAATAACACTTTAAATTTCATCTATTTGAACTTAAGTTAAATTTTAAGTAGGCCTATAATCAAACTTGCTGTACAAATCCTTTCACCTCAGTTTTTAGAATCGTGTCTAGTTGAATCTCATTTAACTTAAAATTAAGTTGAAACCGTTTAAATTGTGAGGAGTTGAAGTAATGGGGAAAAACATGTTGACTGATCGTATCATATATTTTACTGTGTACCAGTGGCGTACCCATCATTTCAGAAGTGAGGGGGACAGGAATGTCAAATGTAATAATAACCAATTGACAGGTTTTATTTATTTATTTTTCTTATCTCTTACTTTTAATTGGCTAATAAATCAAATACACTGCTTGGACAATTACCAATAATTTTT